CCAAAGCCCCAGTAGATAGTTGTATGTCATAGTTGCACATCCTTCTAGTTGCTGTATGTGGGACGTGGCCTCAGCATGGCCGGAGAAGCAGTGCGATGGTGCGCGCCTGGGATCCGAACCCGGGCCGCCAGCAGCGGAGCGCGCGCACTTAACCGCTAAGCCACGGGGCCGGCCCCCACACTGGAGTATTTTAAATAAATCCTAGCCAGAATGGATCACTTTTTTGGTTTGTTTTTTTTTTGCTTTTTCCTTTGAAATAATTTGACTTAGAGAAAAGTTGAAAAATAGTGCAGAAAGCTCCCATAGACCCTTCGCCCAGCTCCATCTAATGTTAACGTCTTAGATGACTATAGTCCGGTTATCAAAGCTGAGGAATTAACATCAGTACAATGCTATTTGGAGTTCACCAGTTTTTCCCGCTAATGTTCTTTCTCAGTTCTGGGACCCCACATTGCATTGCGTTGCCATGTCTCCTCAGCTCCCTCCAGTCTGTGACATTTCTTTGGTCTCTTCTTGTCTTTTGTGTCCATCAGTTGGACATTTGGGCTGTTTTCACTCTTCGGCTATTATGAATAATGCTGCTATGAACATTTTTGTAGGGGTTTTGTGTGGACATGTTTTCATTTCTCTTGGATATATACCTAGGAGTGGAATTGCTGGGTCATATGGTAACTCTGTGTTGAACCATTTTATTTTATTTTATTTTTTTTGTGAGGAAGATCAGCCCTGAGCTAACATCCATGCTAATCCTCCTCTTTTTGCTGAGGAAGACCGGCCCTGAGCTAACATCTATTGCTGGTCCTCCTCCTTTTTTTCCCCTCTTTCTCCCCAAGGCCCCAGTAGATAGTTGTACGTCATAGTTGCACATCCTTCTAGTTGCTGTATGTGGGACGCGGCCTGAGCATGGCCGGAGAAGCAGTGCGTCGGTGCTCGCCCAGGATCTGAACCCAGGTCACCAGTAGTGGAGCACGCGCGCTTAAGCGCTGAGCCACGGGGCCCTCATTTTTTACTTTTAAATATGATGCATTTGGAGGTTATCCTGACATATGGTGTGTGATATGGATCCAAACCAACCTTTCTCCAAACAGTACTGTGGTGAACAACCTTGTGCATGGGACATTTTTGTCCTTGTCTGTGTGTACACTAGAGAGTAAGTAAGCTTCAAGAAGACAGAGCCCTGTTTGTCTGCTTGGCATAACGTCCTGATACTAGCACCTGGCTTAGGGTAGGGGCTCAGTGAATGCCCGCTGATTGAATCTGTAGCAAAAATCGTAGGAGTAGAATCCCGAATGAAAGGTTATACATTTGTAAATGGTTTTTGAAGTTATTGCCAACTTGCCCTCCACTGAGTTGTTGCACTGTATGCTTCCTCAGCAATGCCGGGGGTGCCTCTGGGTGCTCCCCATTCACTCTTTAGCCCTGCAGCCTTGGCCTCGGCCTCTGCCCCTCCACTGAAACGTGCAGGTCCATGTTTAGGCCACTTCCATGTTGCCATCCAGCAGTCACTTCTCTGTCCTCTGCTTTACAGAACCTCTCAGCAGCATTTTGTCATTTGTTCCCTAAAACACTCTTGATGGTGATAATGATGATTATAGCTGCTGTTTATTGGATGCCCATGAGATGCTGGAAGAAGATGCTAGGTGCTGTCACACATTGAGTCCTCACAACATCCTGAGAAAAGAAGATTGCCAAGGCCCCTGAGCTGGGTCATAGCCTGGCCCTGGGACGTGGGAACGCCCCTTTGGCGTCCCGGTGGCAGAAGGAGGAAACAGGGTGGTGGCTAGCAAGAGCCGCACACCCGGCTTTTTAAGGGCAAGTGTGATTTGGACGTGTCGACTGGTTAGTGACAGGAACTCAGTACTGTTAGTGTGTTTCCTGTGGTTATGATTCAGCCTAATGTAGAGATGACTGAGTCGTTCCTGTTTCTCATCCTCTAAGCTGTGTAGCAATTTGAGGAGTTTGTTTCAGCCATCTTCTCAGTCTGATCATTTTAGTCGTGAGCACAGCGATGTTAAGGTATGTTAATGTTCACATCTAAAAGCCCAGTGAAGCCGGGATGGTCTGGGATCGCGTTTGTGAACCATCATAAGGCAGGACCCTACTCCAAGCCCACTGTCGTCCTGACCTGGCCAAGCAGCTGCTGCTCATTTAGCTGTGTCTTCCCCTGGCCGCCTTTGGGAATAGCCTTGCCAGCTGGCTTTCAGAAGCATAGAGGCCAGGATATTTTTAGTTTACAGAGCAGTGGTATCCAGACTGGCAGGTCCCTGAGGCCATTAATAGCTCAGGCTGGGGAAGGTAAGGTGACAGCAGTCCAAGAGGGCAGCAGCTGCCTAACTGGGTCAGGCTTATTGTCATGCAGCAGGACGGCTGCCTCCAGCAGGCAGGGCTTTTGTGCAAGATGATTTCCCTCATCTGCACTGAGGATCATGGACAGACCCAGACAGTCTCCTCACCCCGCGCACATTACCCCCTCTGCCTCTGTGGTTCCATTTTCAATCTTTGTCATCTTTCGGGGGGGGGGGGGAGGAGGGGCGGGTGAGGGAGTAAGTTCAGGAATTTACTCCCAGTACTGCACTTTATTTTTCCTAAATCGTACTGTCTTGAACATCAAAATAGACTCTTTCCCTCATTCTGGTGGTCTCAGTTTTGGTGGATAAATGTGTTTGCCATAATTTATGCTGCTTATTATTTTGTAGACTTAACACGGGGGTGGGAGATGATGAGATAGCTAGGGCCAAGGACAGTTAATTGTATAATTATGCATATTTTATTTGGTACAATATAGTGTACCTATATATGTAGTATAGTGAGAATAAACTACAAAAAATATTTCACAAATGACTACCTGTTTAGAAATTATTTGAAAGTTATTTCTGGCTCTCAAAATGTAAGTAATGTGGGTAACAGTCTAGCACCAGAAGAGGTGGCTAGCTGAGGGTCGAGAGCCAGAATGTTTCACTGACCTCCTGAAGTATTTTTGTTAAGAGAATTAAATACATAGTTTATTACCAAATTTACTAAAGAACTAGAAGATCTTTAGTAAACAGTTTATTCTATCATTATTAAATACATGATTACATTAATGGTACCTTATGTAAAATATTTTAATGCAATTCTAGAAATAATTCATTTTTCTGAACAGTACTAAGTCCTTATACAAGGACATAGTAAAAGTGGTTAGAAACTAATTTTTCTGAGAGTTGGCTCATATTAAATGACCTGTTTTTCTTAAGAATTTTTTTAAAAACCTTTTTTAATATGGGTTAAAAATATATTTAGGAATGCTTCCGTTTCAGGAAAATGTTCATTCTTAGTACCTTTCATTCAAATCAATAAAATGTAAGATTTGAAATAATTTGGTTTGGAAAGTTAATTTGAGAGAACTGTCAAGAGAAGTTAATTAGATTTGACTTGGTGAACCTAGAAAGTATTTGTTTTGAATTGTAGCTGGAATCAACACTTATAAGAATTGCACCTCTTAAAAGTTCTCAACACAAGAAAAAAGAAATTGTAACTATGTGTAGTGATGGATGTTGACTTATTGTGGTGATCATTTTGCAATATATAGAAATATCGAATCATGTTGTATACCTAAAACTAATGTTATGTCAGTTATATCTCAATTTAAAAAAAAGAATTGCACCTTACATTTGTTTATTGCTTTGTACTGTTCTGTTTTTATCAGTTGTTATGTAAAGTAATGGTCACACTTCTATCCATAAAAAGTTTTCTGCATGCCCCATAGATTATATCTATGTCTATATCTGTCCTTATTTATAAACTATATATTTTGCTCTACCAAAATATGGTATATATTATAAAACATAGAAAAAGTTAAAAGGGGGATGAGACAAAAATGAAGTAGGCAAAGATGTTCTGATATTTTCTCCCATGCTCCTTGAGGTAGGGTCACCCCGTTTTATCGACTGCTGGACTAGAAGATTGTGTGAAAGGTTTTACCTGTAGCTAACTTAGCTGTGCAAGAAGCTGTTGTGCTAACCGCCCTCTTTTTGGAGCACTCAATGCAGTTGGCGTCTATGACACACAGTTTTCCCGAGGTGCTTTGAGCCTTGCTTGGTGGCTCTGGTGGCCCCTCGCCTGTCTGGTCTTTAGGTCTTGGAGATTCTGGCCCTCTGTACCTTACCATCTTTCTGTCTTCTCTCTTGATGTCTTACACCAGAGCCATCATTTATCTACTTCCCCAAAGCTAGTGACTTCTGACTCTAGGTCCCCAGCTCTGACACCTCTCTTGAGCTAAAGACTTTATTAATCCGACTGTTTGCCGGAGTCCCACAGTCAAACTCCGTATGTCCAACCTGCACTCCTCAACTTCCCCTAGACTTGCTCCTCCTCCCCATTTCCAGTTAATGACACTTTCATTACCCAGAATTGAAAGTGGGAAGAAACCTCACCTTCTTCGACATCTAGTCAGTCACCAACTTTAAAAAGATACTTCAATTTCTCTCTCTACTCTCACAGCCTTACTTCTTTTCCCTGCACTATTGGAATAGCTTCCTAATTGGTCTGTCTAATGTGATTCCTTTCCAGTCTAGCCACCACACTGCAGCCAGAGTAATTAATCTAAACTGCAAATCTAGCCAGCATTTCCTGGCTGAAAATTCCTCATTAGCTCTTCATCACCTGCTGAATGAAGTCCAGGCTCCTTGTAACTGTGGCCTTGCCTCTTTATCAGCCCCTGATTGGCTCCACAGCCCATTCCTTAGCCCTCTTTGCCTTCTACTTCAGCGTCCAATAATACTTATTTGCTGTATTTTCTTCCCAGTGTACTCTCCTTAAATTTTTAAAAAATTTAACACACTTTTAGAGTCATATAGCTTACAGAGTCTCCTAGTTCCACAAGATTCCTTAAGAGAAACAGCAGTTTCCTGCCTCCCATTTCTCCATCCCCATAGCCAACTGCTTTCAGCTGTGGCTGGTTCTCTTGGCGTTTACTTCTCTGTCTAAATTCATGCTTGTGCTCTTGCTTCTTGACTTTTCACTTGTAGGCTTTGTCTTTCTCTCACTGTGGAGGTGAGATGTCAGCTGCCTTCTGTCCAGCTTCTACCTCACGTACCCACATTTCCATCCCTCCTTCTTCCCAATAGAGTTACTGCATTTTAGACTGCTGTGCCTCCTTAGGCTAGCTTCTTCGGAAGATTACTGAATATGATTTATGTATTTTCCATCTATTAATGTTCTGGGGGTATGGCTGTTTTTTAAAGGAACATGTGTCAGAGACTTTAACTCATCAGTTAATGAGAGAACTAGTAAAATCTTATAATCAGTTTAAAGGAGAATTGAGACAACACACACGTATGTAATCAGGAATGCTCAAGTGAATTTACAAATAGATGTAAAACTAGTCAATATCCATACATGTGCAATAATCAGTTGCATTCTTCTGGATAAAATTAATTTTCATTTCTTTGGACAAGAAATTGTTTGCCTTCCTCTTAAGTTTTCTGCAACTCGCAGAGTTGTAAAGCAGCTCAAAGACAAAGGCGCAGGGCCCTATAGAATTAGATAACCCAAAGGATGTGCTGGACAGCACACCCAGTAGTCTTATTTTTTGTCCATTTCAAAGCTTTTCACGGTTTTTCTGACGTCTTCCCCATCTGGCACATAACAATGTCAAAGAAAGATTATTCTTGGTCACAGAAAAAGCCTTGTCTCATTAGGTTTGCAGGTGCAGCAAGAGTGCTAACCAGATGGGCCACCTCGGGTTTGCTCTTGCACAACTGCTGAGGTCACTAATCAGCTTCTGTCCAGAAGTTTTTATGCAGAATCTCGTTAAAACCCTCAATTATTTGCTAGTCTGAGAGTGGGGAACTAATTCCAAGAAACTTTCTCCACCATGTTTTCACTTGCAGTAACCTATAAATTTGAGTGAATTCTTCTCTTATCGAGGCTCCAAAATTTGCTGAGGTTCCTGACCTGCCAGCGAGTGATCTTCCTTACCACCTGAAGTCTGGGATCTTGTCTGCCAGGACCCCTCCAGGCTGGTTTTCCTGGGAGGGCTTTGTAGACATTGGATCCATAAGTAAAGTTGACCTTGATTCTTTAAAAGTGACTTGTCATACTTGAGTCACTGAGAATCATTCTCAAATAGGACACTTCAGATAAGGCATTGGTTGCATAATTGAGTCATCCAATTATATCCCATTAAAAGGAGGACAGATTTTTATTGAACCTACACAAATAACTATGTGGCTGTGAAAATACAAAGCCCAAGAGTGTACTTTTTTTAAGTATTTTTAGGAAACACTGCGTTAATAAAGTACTATTCTTTTTGTTGTGGTCTCTAACTGGTAGGTTGTCATCCTGTTTTCTATGAAAATGTAGGAATCCTTGGTACCAGAGACTGTTAAAGAGATCTTTATGTTGTTAGAAAATATCTGATGTGTGTAGACTCTCTTAAGATTGTATCTTCATTATAACACTTTAATTTGATTATCTTTTTCAGGTTCACATTGAGATCCATTGAAGGCCTTCTGCTGATTGACAAAGGCGTGTCTTCAGGCTCACCACATCAGAGAACACACAGCATGAGGGATGGAAGAGGGGCTCTCGGCATCTGCCTCGCAAAAGTGACGGGAGAGGGAGAGGACATGGACAAACTATTACATAGACTTAAAAGAACACAGAAGGAGGGCCCTTGCCCATCAGACATACCTTTCTGGTTGATTAAGCCTGCAGTTGATGTAAATGGAAATTCACAAAATGAGGAGTTATCATTGGAAATGAGAAATGATCTGAGTGAGTTCAACCTCTTGCTTCACAATGGCAACCAAGTGCTGCCATCTTTGAACGAATCATTAAGGAGAAATTCAGCAGCGGCTCAGAGCAAGACTGTGGATCTGTTCTTTGCTCCTGTAGAAGAAGAGTGTTTTGCTGGGGTGTCCTGTGGTGTTGGGGAAGCTCTGGTGAGGGACTGGCTGGGAGGAGGGCCCAGGGCCACTGATGGCCACAGAGGATGGTGCCACAAAGGAGAGCCTTGGGAGTCAGGACTACTGTGCCGTCAAAAACCGTCAGAAATGGGGATTTCTGAGGATCAACCACCCAGTGCTTTTCTTGAGGGGCTAGGCCCTGAGTTGGAACCATCTTGCCTGCATTCCATCCTGTCTACACTGCTGCACACACGTCCCGAGGTATTCCTGAATGATGAGACAACATGTTTTCCTTGGCCATTCAGAGCCTATGTTTTCAGAGCAAACAGTAGAATACAAGAAAATACTTTCAAGTGTAAAAAGTACCTCAAATGGTCTGCAGATAACACTGGGTTTACTGGCTCTACAAGCTTTCGAATTAGCAAAGCCATTATGCCATAGTTAAGGTACAAGCAGAACAATAAAAATAGTGAGATTAATTTTAAAAATTGTCAGAATGATTTGTTTCGCATTAAGTCTGGATGCAAACAGTGCAGCCATGAAATTCTTCTTTGGTTTGACCAGACAAACTTAAAAGAAGTGGAATTTAAACTCATGGAAAGCTGGTTGATGTGGAAGGGAATTTTTGAGAATGTTCTAAAATGTGCTTAAAAAGACATTCAGGATTGGGAAACCATTTCCTGGAAAACATTAATGTATCCTATATAAATATCAGATTAGAACATAAAGATTTAACATAAAGTTCTTTATATATCTTCAACACCCATTCTAAAGGGCTACTGTCCCAGATACCGTCTCTTCAGACTGTGTCTGACCATCTAACGGAAGTGGATATTTGTAAAAGTCACCCCCTCGGTACTTGCTCTAAGCCTTGCTGAGTTGATGGTAAGCTGTTACCATTTCTGCATTTGGTAGAATAATTTTGGTCTGCAGCAAAATTGGATTTCTTTTCTCACATCCCTTACTTCCACTTGAAATGCAATTTAAATGGAGGCCCTACGGTGAAAGTTGCAATATTAAACTTAGTTTTAGAATAATCCTTTCTCAAAGTAGGAACCCTAGCACTGTTGCCTGGAGTAAAAATGAGCTTGAGACTTTAAGCTGTAGCTCAGTTATAGAGAGGCAAATCGAGTATTTCCGTCATAGAAAGTTTCCAGTTTATAGGAATTGAGGTAGCTTTTACATTAAGATTTTTCTGAGGAAACCCCTTTTGTTGTTGATAACTTTGGTAAACGTCACTTCAGAGCATAAGTTTTTAAGAAATCCCAAAGTAAGACTTAAAACAACCACTTTTGGGGTTATTGATTGCATATATGTGTGCTAAATTACTATGCTGTGTGCTATCTTAGTGTTTTGGGAAAATGAAAAATAAAATCTGTTCTTTAGCATAATAAATATTTTATGTGCGTAGTCTTGGTTCACTTTGTCTTTTTATTAATGCTGTCTTCCTAATATTTAAAAGTGTTTTAGCATGAGTCGAAATAGGTTGCTAATTTAGAAGATTGGAAGTAGAGCTTGAAAAGCAAAATGTAAAGCTAGGTGGAACGCAACTCTCACTTGCCTCCCAGGAGGTAATGAAATAGTGTGTTTTGATCCTTTAGGGTGGTGCTCATAGAGTCCCAGAGTAAGAGTCCTTGTGAAAGAACCATCGCCAGCCAGTCTAAAAGGACACTGTCCTGATTGGGCAATTAAAGCCCTGGTTAGTGGACACTCCATTTGGGGTCACTGACAGATTGTGAAATGAGATGAGGACACGTTTCAGTGTTTTAAAATGGGAACTGTTTTCTTGTCAAGCCCTTCTCCCCCAACCCTCTTTTTTTTTTTTTTTTTAAAAACTAAGTCCTTTGGGATGGAACTTTCCATGACTCAACTGTTTTATTTCCTTTGTTTTGTAAATTGCAAGTATAAATATTTTCAACCAATGGCAAAGAACAAATATGGAATTCCCTAATTAGCATCAAATGCTAAATTAATCAATGTGAAATGTCTTCATGTGGTTATATTAGAATAAAGTGTGTTTTCTAAAAACAGCTTTGGGGAAAAGTTCACAGTAACTTTTCTTCACGTTAATTTCTTTTTTTTTTTTCTAATTTCTTAATACACGTATACTTTGCTGCAGTTTTTCCCTCTGGTGCTGTATTGTGTCCAGTTCCTGTCTGAAGATAGCCTCTCCTGTGGAAAGTTCTAGGGTAGAGGTGATGATAAATGTACCGTATAAAGTTTCATGAATTCGCAAAATAAGGCCTTCTATAAACATTTTTATTTTTGAGGCAATTAGTACACAAATGATATTCTTTAAGATAAATTTCCATGATTGAATTATAAAAGGGATCACTCATTTGAAATATTTTAGGTTGTATCATTTTGGCAATGAAAACTAAGGGAAGCTTATTTTAAAAGTTCTAAGTTTATGTGCATTTTTTTCTTTTTGACTTGATGTATTCTGCTCTTAAGGATTAAACAGCACAATCATTTTAAATTTAGAAACTATGATACAAAATCTTGGACTTGGTTATTCACATTTGGAAGTCATAACTTCTTTTTTTTTAACATTGGAATGAATGTTAAGGTCTTAAAGTGATTATGCAAACCTATAGAGAATAAAAAATTAAACTTGTGTTTAAGTAGTTCATTCTTATATGACTATTGATTTTATAAATAGGAAGTAAGACGTGTGTTTTGGAGCTTGGTATAAATCCTTGTGTATTCTAAAATTCATATAGACCATTTACTATACTATAATTTCATACAGAATAAGAAATATGCTATAGAATTCTCTCCACTTTCCATAGATAACTTTTAAATTTTCCTTTTTAAACCTTCCAAGGAGAAGAAATAGAATTAACAGATCTCTTTTTTTATTTTTTAAAGATTTTATTTATTTTTCCCCCAAAGCCCCAGTAGATAGTTATCTGTCATAGCTGCACATCTTTCTAGTTGCTGTATGTGGGACGTGGCCTCAGCATGGCTGGAGAAGCGGTGCGTCTGTGCGCACCCGGGATCCGAACCCCGGCCACCAGCAGCAGAGCGCGAGCACTTAACCGCTAAGCCACGGGGCCGGCCCATCGGATCTCTTAATCTATGTGAACTCAGAGCTGGAAACTGTGCTCTTCAACACCAGCGAACGGTGGAAGCTTTGAAACGCGCCTCATCCACGTGATTATATATATATATATATTTTTTTTTTTTATTGGTTTATAACATTGTAAAAATTTCTGGTGTACATCATTGTACTTCTATTTCTGCATAGATTACATCAGGTTCACCACCAAAATACTAATTACAACCCATCACCACACACATGTACCGAATTATCCCTTTCACCCTCCTCCCTCCCCACTTCCCCTCTGGTAACCACCAATCCAATCTCTGTCCCTATGTGTTTGTTTATTGTTGTTATTACCACGTGATAATATATTCCATGTAACTTTTTGAAATTAGAGGCCTAAGTAAGATTTAAAAGAATAGTTACTTCTATTTGGCTTCCCTTTGCTTCCAAAATGTCCTTTTTTCCAATTTTATTTTTATCAAAACTTGATTAATCAGATTAATTAAAAAGCATCTGGGGGCCTGCCCGGTGGCGTAGCAGTTAAGTTCTTGCGATCCACTTCAGTGGCCCAGGGTTCTCAGGTTCGGATCCCAGGCGCTGACAGACACACAGCCGCACTGCTTGTCAAGCCATGCTGTGGCAGCGTCCCATATAAAGTAGAGGAAGATGGGAAGATGTTAGCTCAGGGCCAATCTTCCTTAGCAAAAAGAGGAGGATGGGCAACAGATGTTAGCTCAGGGCTAATCTTCCTCACACACAGACACAAAAAGCATCTGTTTACTTTGTGTACTTTCATTTGCATTTCAAAGTGCAAACTATTCATTGAGCCGTCTATTTGCACAACTGAAACTTGACTAGAAAAGATTGTTTGCAAAGGGGCTTGCTGCTTAGGAAAGGTAATCTTTGCAGGATAAACTTTTCCTTTTCCTGAGACAAATGATCCTGCTTTATTGAGGCAATAAGATAAGACCTTTTAACAGAAGGGTTTGGGTTGAGTGGGGAGAGTGTGTCAGCCCCGCTGCATCAGATGTGCACATCATCACGTTCACACCACACGCCTGTTGGGTCTGAGGAGTCCTTGAGCAGCACTGTGTTTTCTTCTGGTCAGCAGATCAATTATTTAAGGAGAAAGAGCAGACGTGGCTTCAGTTTTGCTACGGTTTTATTTTGAGTAGATTCTTTATAGTTAATTTTTTTAATTGTTTAGGTACATAGCAATAAAAGGAATTTTTCTAGAGTAGCTTGCTTCACCACAGTATTAACAGAATAGAATTCTCCAATTAACTTTAAGATTTTTAGTTTTTTTAAGGCGGTGGACTTAACCTGTTTTCCCTTTCCCTGTCTGCCAACCAAGAGTTCTGTCTCTGCTCTCAGAAAACAAACGAGTAATGTGTTTGAAGATTCTAAAGTGGGCTCCGTTTTCTAATTCTTAAAGCTTCTATTATACTTAAGTTTACAAGCACTCTTCACCGCGTCTTACATCTCCAAGATCACTTGGAGAAAGCAGTGTGTCTCTGTATGCTCCTTTGACCTCAGTTATTGCTTTAGTCAGAGTTCTCCAGAGAAACAGAACCAAAAGGATATATATAGACTTAGATATAAATATATGAGATTTATTATAGGAATTGGCTTACACGATTATGGAGACCGAAAAGTCTCACCATCTGCCATCTGCAAGCTGGAGACCCAGGAAAGCCAGTGATGTAATTCATTCCTAGTCCAAGGCCTGAAAACTATGGGAGCCGATGGTGTAAGTTCCAAAGCCAAACACCTGAAAACCAGGAGCGCCAGTATCCGAGCGCAGGAGAAGATGGATGTCTCAGCTCAAGCCAAGAGAGAGCCAATTCACCCTTTCTCCACCTTTCTGTTCTCTTCAGCCCTCAACTGATTGGATGATGCCCACCTGCATTGGTGAGGGTGATCTTTACTCAATCTACTGATTCAAGTGCTAATCTCTTCTGGAAACACTCTCCCAGACACACCCAGAAATAATGTTTTACCAGCTCTTTGGGCATCCCTTAGCCCAGTTAAGTTGACATAAAGTTGACCACGTTGCATAGCTGCCTCTTTTCAGCTGAGTTCTCAGATGCCTTGACAAATCGAGTTCTCTGTAGGACATCTGAGGGGATCTCATACCTAGGACACAGGTACATACAACTTGCAGAGTGGGGAAAGCACTGTTAATTGTCACTCCCCCCAACCCCCCAAAGCTAAGGACTCACACTTCTTCAGAGAAACCTATTGTATTAGGGAGATCTGAGAAAAGAGAGGAATGGGCTTATTTTCCATGCAGGTACTTTGTCCTCTGTGTGGCAAGCCCAAACATACACCTGAATTCACTTAGAGATCGAGACTGCAGCAATAAGGGAGACAAACTCATTTTCCGGCCTTGTGGTGCCTTTGGGGGAGTAGGCTGAGCTGATTCGGCTTCCCTGTGTCCAGCTGAGCGGCAGGCGGGGTTCATTGTTAGTGTTCACGTTTCCTACTCTACTGCATAAAATCAAGGTTTGGCAAATATGTGAATTTACAAACGTTTAAACATGTGGAGTGTCTGTTAAATCAGCTTCTCCTTTTCTCCTATGTTAGGGACTCTCTAACAAGAATGTCTTAACCAGACACCGCCCTTTGGTTCCATGTAAATACTGCGTATTTGGGTTGAACGTATTCAGTTTTCCGGTACTCCTCTTTATTCCCCGTGTTTGTCACACGTCTCCACAAAGGGTCCCGGAAGATCAGAATCAGCCATTTTGTTTTTTAACATTTGCATTATTTAATATGGTGAATATTACACCAAAAATGACTTTATTTTTCTGTCAGCTTTCTGTAGGGAGTAATGAGTTTGTCTTTTGGCCACAAAAGTGGTAAAACACCAGGGCTGAGCCTTCAGACCTGAACTTGACGATGTGTGCATTTTTGCCCTTCACTACTCAGACTCATAACAGATGGCGGCTTTGGTTTTAGTTTATTGGGAGGAGGAAGGGGGATCTGGAAAAGGGAATGAAAATGCCTAGTTCATTCTGGATGAGAATCATTCAGGCCAAGAGTCCTGCCCAGGTGAGTAAGAGACGGTAGGGCTTAACTTCTGTGGAGGCCCCCTTAGTGGGAAAATACATTGCCTTTTTCATAGCTTAAATACTTTGATATGGCTATTAGCATGACCAAAGAAAACTGGGTTTTCTTTTAAAAACTGTTGCTTGGTACAGGGCTTTTTTGAAGGTAATGCTTATTTTTGAAGCTATGGGGGCATATGCATATTGCGTTTTAAGTTGGCAGGTGAGGTCAAATGTGGTGTGAGAAGGTCAAGTAGTTACTTTATTATAAATGGCCTTTATTCATTTGGGCAAATTTTATTATTTGAGTTTTATTGAGATATAGTTGACATATAACGCTTTATAAGTAAGATGTACAGCATAATAACTTGACTTACATATATTGCAAAATGATTACCACAATAATCAGTTTAGTTAACATCCATCATCTCATATAGTTACCAGAAAAAAATGTTTTCTTCCTTGTGATGAGCACTTTCAGGATTTACTCTCTTAGCAACTTTCAAATATATTATGCAGCAGTGTTAACTATAGTTACCATGCTATAAATTACAAGCCTGGTACTTATCTTATAACTGGAAGTTTATACCCTTTGACCACCTTCATCCAATTCTTCCACCCCCAACCTCCTGCCTCTGGTAACTGCAAATCTGATCTCTTTTTCTATGAGTTGTTTTTAAAAAATTTTTTTTTAATTCCACATGTAAGTGAGATCATACAGCATTTGTCTTTCTCTGTCTGACATTTCATTTAGTACAGTGCCCTTGAGGTCCATCCATGTTGTGAAAAATCCCAGAATTTCCTTCTTGTTTATGGCTGAGTAATATTCCTGTGTGTGTGTGTGTGTGTGTGCGCGCGCGCATGTGTGTGTGCGTGTGTGTGTGCGCGTGTGTGCGTGTGTGTGTATGTATACGGATGTCTTGGCTATTGTCAATAATGCTGCAGTGAATGTGGGAGTACAGATACCTCTTTGAGATAGTGTTGTCGTTTCCTTTGGATAAACACTCAGAAGTAGAATAGCTGGATCACATAGTAGTTCTATTTTTAAATTTTTGAGGAATCTCCATATTGTTTTCCATAGTGGCTGCACCAATTTACAGTCCCACCAACAGTGCACAAGGATTCCCTTTCCTCCACATCCTCACCGGCGTTTGTTATCTCCTGTCCTTTTGATGATGGCCATTCTAACAGGTGTGAGGTGATATGTCATTGTGGTTGTGATTTGCATTTCCCTGATGATTAGTAATGTTGAGCACCTCTTCATGTACCCGTTGGTCATTTGAACATCTTCTTTGGAAAAATGTCTATTTAGATCCTTTGAATCTAGGCAAATTTCAGTGGAACATTCTCCCCTCCCTCTGAAGGTGAACAACTGAAGCAAGCCCCAGTGGATGAGACACTACTGCCTGGACAGTCTGTATTTGAGTGTGTATTTAGGGAATCTCAGGGTAATTTATATAGCTGCCTAATTTAGGGGGAATGGGTGAGGTGTGAAGCAAGCAACCCCTCCCAACAGGCTGTGCCTGTGAGGCTCAATTTTGCCACAAGAGGGAGCCACGTGTGCACTTAGGAAGCGTCTTGCTCCAGGGCAGGACTTCTTTTTCTTCAGTTGTTTCGTTTATCCAAATTCTGAAGCCAAAATTAACGTAAAAATGCTGGACTTAGTTCAGTGTGGTTTGTTAAGTTCAGCGAGTGTGGTATATCAAACCTCACAAGATTTTAACTCTTTGGCTCAATACCCACAGATGGTGCTTTACAGCAAGAAGATAAATGTTAGAAAAATTAATTTGGTATTTTTGTTTCTATTTTTCATTTTGGGGAGTGACTTTCAGTATGAAGCCACATTTTCACACTGCATCAACAAGAATGGTAGTTTTATTCTGTGTAGGCTTGTCAGAGTGCTCACTTCTGCCCACAGTGGGCTTGTCCTGAGCCTGTTCCGTGTTTGAGAGACTCTTGGAGACCCTTAAAGGGAAATCTGTCCCATCAACGAGTCAGTTTTTCACTCCAGAAATCACAACTTTAGATTTCTTTGGTGGCTCATAGTGAAATGTTCTTAAAACGTCGGAATCCGTAAAATATTGGGAACTGCTGTTGTTCTGTGATGTCGATGAACCATTGCTTCTTCCAATGCATTTTCACAAAAGATCTATTGGAAGTTTTTTAAATGATAAATTGTGACAATAGAATATATATAAATAGCTTACAAACTATTTAGTTTCTTGGAAATGTTCTGAGTACCACTCAGGACTTATTAAAATAAAGAGGTTTGTTTGAATAAACTCCAGGCTTCCTCTTTGTTAGATATTTCCGTTTTAATCTCTTGGGGAAAAATTGCTGGGGTGTTGCTCCCTCTCTCCTGCTTGATTCAAACATGTAATCTTCAAAGCTCCTCAGATATATTTGGCAAGATCACAAAACCTGGCACGAGTTTCTTATGTAAAACTCCTATCTTCATGTTATAAAGCTTACATCTTTATGCACTTGGTTCTCCCCTATATTTACTGTTCTCTTAAGATGGTTTAGAATGAGGATGTTTTATTAAAAGAGAAACTAACAACAATGTCCTAGCTCCTAAGAACATTTCACCTGCCATCAGGCAATTGACCATTTTGATAGTTCATAGCAGCCATTCATTGAGCTCCCACTCCTGCAGTGTGAAGAGACAGTGACTCTGCCTGGTGGAACACTCAAATCTTCCCAACAATCCTGAAAAACAGTGCTTTCTTACTTTAGGGCTGAGGACGCGGAGGCGAGGCTGCGTAGCTAGTAACTGGCAGAGCCGCAATTGAAAGTTTGTTGACCACAGTTTGTTCTTCGTGCTGTGTTGTGTTTTCCCTCGTCTCTTCCTTTCAAGATAGTCGTTCAACATCCAGCAAATACTTATTGGGCATCTACCGTGTACCAGGCATCCTAGTAGGTGTGGAGACAGTGCAGTAAATAACACCAGGCCGCCTGCTGTCACAGAGCCCAGTGGTTCAGATTGGTTCCTCGTTAAGTAGTGAAGTGAAAGGATTGAGGTACAGGGAGCCTGAATGGGGAAATGGAAAGATCTTCGCTGTTATGAAAGTACCGATAGTTGATATTTGACTTCCCGATTGGGAAAATGAGAAATGTTACATCAAACAATCAAAGTTTTGTCTAGAGAGGATGACATTGTTAACTTTTTGGTGTTGATGAGGTCTTCAAGGATGAAAGTCATACTATCTCCTTCATACTTGAATCTTCACTAACCTCAGGCTGTGTTGGTCACGTCAGCCTTAGACGTTTCCACCAATGGTCCAAGATTTAAACAAAAAGATGATCTTTAATGAATCTAAAATTATAGATTCAGTGTAAAAGTATACCTGACTATCTAAATACAGTAGCTACTAGCCACATCTGACTATTTACTTTTTTTTGTGTGTGTGTGAGTAAGACTGGCCCTGAGCTAACATCTCTTGCCAATCCTCCTCTATTTTGCTGAGGAAGACTGGCCCTGAGCTAACATCTGTGCCCATATTCCTCCATTTTGTACATGGGACGCTGCCACAGCATGGCTTGATGAGTGGTGCATCGGTCTGCACCCAGGATTTGAACCTGCACACCCTGGGCCAGGGAAGCGGAGCACGTGCACTTAACCGTTACGCCACTGGGCCTGCCCAGACTACTTACATTTTAATTAAAATAAATAAAATTTAAAATTCAGTTCCTCACTCACACTGGGCGTCTTTGAAGTGCTCAGTAGCCACATACAGCCAGTGGCCATGGCATTGGACATTGCAGATAAACATTTCCATCAACTCAGAAAGTTCTATTGGACAGGCTATTGTAGATATATCTTGTGACAATTTTGCCTCTTCAGGATATGAAGATCTTTAATACATTAGTGTGTGTGATTTTTTACTTTTAATCTCCCATCAATATAAGACAAAAACACCATTCTCTTAAAGTGGGGAAAAGAGAGATCATGAGTTTACACATGATTTTCTGTAAGCTTTTGCTGTACAAAAAGGGATTGTCTTAGTCTCTCACTTTTTATCTTATTCACGAGTGTATTAGTCAAAGTTTTTCAGAGAAACAGAACCAACAGATGTGCATAGATATAAGAGGAGATTCGTTATGGGAATCAGCTCATGCAATTATGGAGGCTGAGATATGCCACAATATGCGGTCTGCAAGCTAGAGATCCAGGGAAGCCCGTGGTGTAACACTCTGAGACCAGATGCTGGGGAAGATGGATGTCCCAGCTCAAGAGGAAAGAGAGAGAATTCACTCTTCCTCGGCCTTTTTGTTCTGTTCAGGCCCTCAATGGATTGGATGATGCCCGCTCGCATTGGTGTGGGCAGATCTTTACTCAAACGATTGATTCAAATGCTAATCTCTTCTGGAAACACCCTCATGGACACACCCAGAAATAATGTTTTACCAGCTAACTGGGCATCCCTTAGCCCAGTTAAGTTGACACACAAAATAAACCATAACAAAGAGGCATTTCATAGTTCTCCTTGAATGAAAGATGTGAAAGTTTAGCATAGTGCCAGGTACACGGAAAGCCTTCTATGACAGAGAGTGGCATCCTCTCTGTCTTTATTTTATATGATATTGTATATTTTAAAATATATTTTAAAACATAGAACCTTTGGCCTCCTTTAGATAAATTCTAATCATTTTATTGTCCAATAGTAATTGGTTTTAAAGTCTCTTTCATGGGGCTGGCCCCGTGGCTTAGCGGTTAAGCGCGCGCACTCCGCTGCTAGCCGCCCGGGTTCGGATCCTGGGCACGCACTGATGCACCGCTTCTCTGGCCATGCTGAGGCCGAATCCCACATACAGCAACTAGAGGGATGTGCAACTATGACATACAACTATCTACTGGGGCTTTGGGGGGAAAAAAAATTATAAAGTCTCTTTCAATCTTGCACCTTTTGAAAAATTTCATCTTGTATTAGGCTGTCACCCAAGCCTGATTTTAGGAGAGGAGCATGTGCTACAATTTAGTGCACTCCAAAGGAAATACATACTCAGGTTTAGAGCTTGACCTTGGCTCTAGAAACGAGACAGTTCATCGGACTGGAGATGATTCATGAGAACATCCTGTACCACCCCCCTCTAGAGCCACTTGGGGCCTCGAAATGTGAGAGAGGACACCCTGCGGAATCGTGGCAGGGCCTGGAAGCATTTGTCCCCCTAGAACTGTGGGCTCACCAAGGGGCCTTTGAGCTCCCTCCAGCTTGAGGCTGGACTTGGCCTCCCCCTCGTCACCTCCAAAAATAGAATTTGGAACTTATTCCCCATGTGACATAATGCATCTCACAGTCACAGGCAGGAAGTGAATGCTTTCCTGCCAGGCCTGCAATGTCCCTGGGAGATGGGCTGGAAAGGACATTCCTTCGATGTCCTATTTCACAATAGAACATCAGTGCACTTATTTTAAGACTACTATCTTCAGTCTGAAAACACAGCATGCTCTTCAAAACTATGCAGTGAAAGAAGTTAGATTGGCTAGATTTCAAGTATCCCGGTGTTTATGCTTCCTAAGCAATATATGGTCAAATATTAGTAAGGATGCCCTCCATCCACTTGAACTCTGTCCTGGGCTCCGTGGGGCTCATAAAAGTGGTGAGATCGTCTCATTAGGGAAATACACTCATATCCTTCAAACGATTAGAGCAGACAACAGAATTTGGCTCATCAGCCCCACGTGTGATTGAGAATCATACAGACCTAAGCAGGCAGGCCATAGCTCGAAATGTTTGGCGATAGTAATTTTGGTTTTCCAGGATTTTCAGGAAGACTCAAACATCTTCACTTCATTGTGACTGCATGCCAGGCTCTAAGGATAAACAGGTGAGCAAGACAGAGTTGATCTCGTGCATCTATGGGTTGGGAAGGAAAGTGACACCCAAATCAGTCGCTAACGTGAGACTGTCTATAAGTGCTGAGGTATGTCCCGGGGGCTGGGGAGACATCGCAGAAGGTGTTGGAAGTGGCTCCCGACACTCGTTTACTACGCTTCCGGCTCCTTGGATGGAGGCTTCTGTCACAGGAGCCCCATCTCAGCCCCAGCTAACTGGTTCACAAAGGTTTGCTGAGGACCCATAGTGTGCCAGCCAGGCCCACACCAGGAGCTGCAGTTTGCAAGATCCATGTTTGAGAGGCTGTTCCTGGACTGCAAGAGCACGATTTCACCTACCCACCCTGGGCAGAAACCTGAGGGCCCCTTAACCCCTTGTCCTTCCAACCCATAGCATCCAAGGCCCCCAGTCTCAGAGGAATCCTGTAAGAGCAGAGACTAAAAGTCGGGTCCAGCCACGTGCTCTGACCAGTACCCGCTCTCCTCTCCCAGTGGCTCTTGCAGCCCTCACTGATTTGCTCAAGACCAAGTCCTCCCACCACAGCCCTCAGCACTAGCGGCGGGCTCTTCCCTCCTTCTCGGTTCTTTGCCGAAGAAAGACCCTTATCACCATGACCCAATTGTTTATAACAAAGAAAATGTGAAAACAAACTGAGAACAAGAAATAAGAGTCAGATTTTGCTTAGCTGCTTGAAGTAATTTGTTGTAAGTTCTAATGTAAGCAAAACCCCAGTTACTTAAGATAATAAATGAGGAAAAACCAATTAATTGGATTTGCTATTAAGTGGGTGTATTGCTACCAAATTGGACAGCAAATTACTGGGAACGATTAGAATGAAGATGATGGCTTCTTACACGGGGACGGGGACGGGGACTGTTCAGCGCTCCTGCTTCCCCTGCCTGGGGAGCTGCAGCCCTGACGCCCCCACCCCCACCCCGAAGGCTTCCCAGTCCCTGAGCCTGTCTGGCTCTGGGGGCACCCAGACCTCCCGTGGTCACAAGCCTGCCCCTGTTTCCCTACTTCCTTCCTTCCAGGTCTCTTGGGATCCAGTCTGCTGTCCCTTTCCCACCCACGCTGCTGGCACTGACTCTGATGTCTTGAGATTCCTCATCTTCAGATCGGGCACAGTCTCATCATTTCCTCGTAATCCTCCCAAATATGAGTGCTCATCATATGAGATTTCACTGTCGTTACTCTGAAGAGAAAGAAGAACGTGAGACAGCAAGAAAGAGGAACGGGGGGATGGAGAGTGAGTGTTTAAGGCGGACGGACATTCAGTGTGAGATGATGAACAATTCTGGAGATGGATGGTGGTGACGGTTGCACAACGATGTGAATGTACTTAATACCCCCAAAGTGTACACTTAAAAAGGTAAATTTTATGTGTATTTTACCACAATAAAAACTTTAAAGGGCCGGCCCGTGGCCTAGCGGTTAAGTGCGTGCGCTCCGTTGCTGGCGGCCCGGGGTTCGGATCCCAGGCGCGCACCGACGCACCACTTCTCCGGCCATGCTGAGGCAGCGTCCCACATACAGCAACTGGAAGGATGTGCAACTATGACATGCAACTATCTACTGGGGCTTTGGGGGGAAAAAAATAAAATCTTTAAAAAAAAAAAAAAAACTTTAAAAAAATTTTAAAAGGATAAATCACAAAG